ATTTATCGCCTAAAATTATTCGCTCGGTAAGTTACAATATTATATTTATTCCGCTTGGCCCATACATATATATTTATCGTATAATTTTCGACTAATTTACATCTTAACCCACGGTTTTATTTTATCTGTTGACAAAATATTATAGTATTCAAGGGCTTCGCCGTTAGGTTAAACCCTGGTATATCTTTTACAACATATTGACTATTATTCAAGCTTTTCGCTATTTGATACGGCCCTTTATATTTCGCTTTAAATTTCGAATTTTCCCCAGGTCTGTTACGGTCGTTTCTGATCATGATATAATCTCCCGAGTTGTACACGGTCGGTTTACGGTGACTTTTATCGTAGTACATTTTATTATATTTTCTTATCAAATTTGTTGCCTGTTGCGCCTGATCCCTAATTATCTGTCTTTCTGTAGCTAGATTTAAATCGGATTCTGAGAGGATGTGAATAAAGCGCGCGAATTTGTTATCCCCGTGGTTACGCTGTTCGTACCCTAGCATCATACGAGAAGGTGTGGATTTAATCGTCTTGTGGTGAGTATTATTGATAATATACTGTACTTTCCCTAATTGCTCCTTCCATTCGCTATTAGACTCAAGGATCTTCGTAAATGTACTCTTCAAAAATCGGTTTATTCTTTCCGCTAAGCCGTTAGCCCAGGGCGACGCGACCGCGGTTTTTCTATGCTTAATTTCATGCGAGTCAAGGAACTTTGTAAATTCGGCCGAAGTGAACGCCGAACCTTGGTCCGACACCACTTTCCCCGGCCGTCCAAAAGTATTGATTACCGAAGATAATTGACTCATCGCTTCTACCGATCCCGTCGATTTTGTCGGCAACAACCATGTAAACCGTATAAATGCGTCTATTATAACTAAGATATAACGAAAATGGTCTTTCGTTTCTTGCAGCGGGCCAAAATGGTCCACGTGCACCACGTCCATCGGAGCTCTAGCCTCATCATGGAAATGATCCTCGCCTTCGCTTCGATGCAAGGAGTCATTCGCCATAATGCAGGTGAAACAATTTTCTATGTATTCGTACACTTTTTTTCGCATAGTCGGAAACCAGAAATTTTGATTAATTCCGAGCAATGTTTTCTCTAAACCACAATGCCCCATCTCGTCATGATGAATTCGTAATAATCTCGGCACCATCGACTCTGGCACTGCAAATTTCAATTCTTCATCTACTTTTTTATATAATAACCCTTCTACTAACGCAAACTTGGTACTGTCTTGTTTTTCCAATTCATTAACTATTTTAACTATTTCAGCATCCGCTAGCTGGCGAAACTCAAGTTCGCGTTCGAGAGGCAGCGCATTGACGTAGGCTATGCTGCGACTGAGCGCGTCCACATGTGACATCTTGCTTCCCGATCGATGTGCCACTTTAAACGAATAATTCTGCAAGGTAAGCGTCCATCTAGCTATACGCGGGTTAAGGTTAGCCTTATTAATTGCATGTACCAGCGCGTTACAGTCTGTCACAACTGTAAAATTTAATCCATACAGGTAAATGTGAAATCTTTCTATCGCCCGAACGATGGCAAGCATTTCTAATTCGAAGCTATGGTTTTTTTTTCTGCTTCATTTGTGCCCTTACTAAAATATGCCACCGGGGCCCATAATCTATTTCGTTGTTTCTGCAACAGAATTGCACCTAGTCCCGCGCTGCACGCGTCTGTGTGCAACTCTGTTTCCGCCTCAAAATCAAATAAGCTTAGTACCGGATACGCCGTCAATTCTCGTTTTAACGCGCCAAACGCTTCTAAACAATCCTCGTCGAATTCGAAAACTTTTTCTTTTTTCAACAGATTTTGCAATGGTCTGGCCTTTATCGCAAAGTCTTTAATGAACCTACGAAAATAATTTGCCAAGCCGAGAAACTGTTGAACCTGAACCACATTCTCCGATTGCCTGAAATTACGTACTGCCTCTGTGTGCCTGGGGCTCAAGGTAACGCCCTCACCCGATATTACATATCCAAGAAATTCTATTTTCCTTCTAAGAAATTGACACTTCTTATAATTCAGTTCGAATTTATATTTTTTAAGGATCATAACCTCAGCAAGAATCTCAAGGTTCTGTTCAACGGTTTCGGCTGCTATTAAAACGTCATCTATATAAACTATAATCTTATTCTCCCGAATAAGCGGGCTAAGGATCTGAACAAGTCTTTTTTCGAATTCGGCGGGCGCCTCACTATAACCGAACGGTAGATACTTATATTCGTACTGCCCATCGGGCGTCGCAAACGCGAAATATTTCGTATGGTCCGGATGTACCTTGATTTGATGAAAACTGTCTTTCAAGTCTAAAACTGTAAAGACTACTTTATTCGCAAGTCGTGATAGGCAATCCTCTATGATAGGAAAGGGGTACTTCTGCTTCTCTATTCGATTATTAAGTGGTCTTAGATCGACGCATAGACGTAGTTTTCCATTCTTTTTCCTAATCGGGACAACTCTAGCGCAATATGGAGATGTACTCGGTTGAATTATGTCGCGGTTCAATAGATCGTTGACAATCTCTCGGATTTGAACACGTTCGGCATACGCAAACCGTCTCGGCGCATAAGTATAAACCGACGGATCTTTGATCTTGACGGTGACCGCGTAACCGTCGTCTATTACCTTCGCGACCTTCGAACGACAATAACAGTTCCTGTAATCGTTTTTTATATCCATAATCAAAATCTATTTCGCTTTCTTCGATTATTTCGATAAGAGACTGTTCCGATGTATTTGAATCCACATATAACGGTAAGTTAGCGAACAATGCCACGCGCTCGTTTACCTCGACCCTTGGCGTGTACACAAAGGTCAACCGTTCTTTTGTTAAGAAATTCCGGCTTATTATCAAATCACCTTCAAAAGTGTTGTTCGCTAATACATGTAAATCCAAATCAAAGGAGACTTCGTTTAACGGTTTCAATATGAAATTCGAACGAACAATACCCACGATCGGAATCGGCTGATTAGTTAAATTGCGCAAATGATTGTTCAACGGTAGCAGTTTCGGCGATAACGCTTGTACATATTTCGAGAAAATATCTTTACGAATAAAGGAAACCGGGCTGTCTGTATCGATAAGTGCCAATAAATTACATGGCTTACCCATTAGATGTGTAATCGTTACGAATGGATCATTTACTTCCAGCTTCCTTTCTGATTCCTCGACGACGGCAACTGAATCCTTCGTCTGATAATGCTCCGCAGTCGCCGCCTGCCCCTGTACCGGAGTCTGCCGGCCCATCGCTATCGTCGACGTCTCTCTCCTTCTTACCGCTGGACACTCAAACTGCCGATGGCCTCCCTTTTTGCAGAAAAAGCAGATCACCTGAGCTCGACATTCCTTGTGCCCGTGACTTCTCTTTCCACAATTCCTACAGTTGGCTTCCTTAATTCGGCTATCCGTTGATGGGGCTGGAGGTCGTCTTTCCAACTCGCCTACGCCCTCTGTGACGCGTCTCATCCTCTCCAGAAATACCTCTATTGTGTCCGCGCTGAGAGCTAAGGCTGTTGCTCGCAACGGGCTTGACATAATCCCTCCGATCAACAATTGGATCGAATTTTTCTCCGATAGATCCAATCGATGCATCAGAGTGAGTTTATCGAAGGCATATTGGTCAAACGACTCCTTATTGCTGAATCATTTTCTCATATCTATCCGTTGCATGGCCCTAAAGTACGGAACTTCTCTTTGAAATATTTTAATCATTTCTCTTTTAACGGACAACCACGACTCTAAAACTTCTCCCGTCTGCAGGTCATACCATCTCCTAGCCGCTCCGGCTAATCGACTAGTGGCCGCCAGCAAAGTTACGCCATCCGTGGCCCTATGGACCTCGCGATCTGGTCCACCCTTTGTACCCACCGGAGGACTTTTCATTATCGGCGCCTCCAAACTCCGGGATCTGCGCCGCTAAAGTGGACACTGTGATCGTCGGTGCCATTGATTCACTCGGCCGAAGAAGCGGGGGAGCTTCTTGAACCCTCGGCGACCCCGATGAGATAGTCTGATTGACCGTCGAATTTCCATTCGTCTCTGTAATTATATTGGTTGCATCCGTCTCCTTTTGCACATTTCTCGCTGTCAAAGCTTGGATCAATTGGTCAAACTGTTACTGTTGTTGTTTTAGGAATTGTTGCTGTTGCCTTTGCATCGCTTGCTGTTGCTGCAATACAT